CATATCAGTTACTTGCTACTCATTTACGCTCTAATGTTTGTTGGCGTTCAGATATGATGCAGAATTCGCCATTGAGATGTGGGACTGCTGTGATTGCCTACTTCTCACCTACTTCTCTCCACTATTTCGAGCTCAACTATACCAATGGTAAAAGTGCAATATTCACCAGGTAATTGGATCAACATGCAGACACCCTTGTAACAAACCAATGGCCATGTGACCGTGATACCGCACACAGCGACTCCCCACCAATCAGCGTCGAGGCCGGGTTTCATTGGACAGTCTCGATATAGACGTGAATTCGGCAGGCGAGGTGAAGTCATTGGAGGGAATTGCGTCTAGCGAGAACGTCGGATACAAATGAGCGGGCAACAGGAACAGCCGAAAACGACACCAGCTGAAGGCGCTACACTTAAAACACCACCTCCGATTGCACAGTCTACTGAACAGTGCCCTGAAGCGCCTCGCAAGAGGAAGAGCACCGAAGTGATCCAAGCGGCTTCTAATGTCTCAAAAGCTATTGCAAAGCAAATACCATTTGAGAAGGAGTCAGAACATGACCGTAAGTTGCAACTAAGTAGCCAACTTGCATTTGTCGTATGAATCATTATGAAGCAGCACGTTGACATGCTCCTTCCATGCATTTGCAATTCAGGCACACCAATCAAACAGACTGGGCGACAATGAATTTGCAGGCAGCGTCATCATCATCAGCAGCGGCGCGATGCTCCAACAAGTGTGTCTCTGGTGGCCCTCGTGCAAGCCTTCTTCAGCTGCTAATGTGTGGTCCCAATCTCGACAATCAACCTCGAATGAAAGAATGGCAGAATTCGGATGCGATTTGTTCTTTGGAATTCATCGCCTCCACTGCCATTTACGTGCTTTGAAATCTGCTTTTTTTGACTTTGAGTGCGCGTGAATATGCCTCCTTACCAATTTCAAGTATGATATTCTAATAAAATTGAAGCAAACAGCTAACTGGTGTTGTTTGTGGTGGGATTTGGTTGCAGAGTGCCAGAGACTGCCATTTTTCATACTCTGCAGACGGGTGGTGCTCGAATGTTTGCAAGGTGACTCCGCAAGTTGCTGTTTCGTTGCTTTATGTGTCTGCATGGACAACCAGTCTAGATCCAGGATTTGGGGTCTTATTATAGAGCAATCAAAGCTCTAGAGTTCTATACGTGA